AAAGCAAGGGAAGCAATCGCTCTAATAAATGTCAATAGAGTGTCATGAGAGGAGGGGTTGTGTCATGATCTTTTCGGGGGGGGGAGGGGAGGGGGAGACGGGAGCGTGTCATGGTGACATCGAGCCATCCTGTGACATGACAGAAGGGGCGTTGTAAGTTTTTTTTTTCTCTTTTCTTTTTTTTTCTTTTGCTGTTGAGTAATTGGTCGTTTGTGTTAACTTGACATTGTGTTCGGTATAACGGGTATAAATTGAAGTGGGTTGCGTCGAATGTTGCAAGTCAATCGGTCATTCGCTCTTCTTTCTTCCTTTCTCTTCTCTTCTCTTCTCTTTTCCTCTCTCCTCTTCGCTTCTCTTCTCTTCGCTTCTCTCCTCTCATCTTTTTCCTTTCTCTACTCTTTCAGATTTACTTTTTCCCTTCCTTAGTCCTTCGCTCATTTAGTTGTGCACACACACACACACACACACACACGCATGCACGCACGCACGCACGCACGCACGTGTGGAATCCATGTCGAACAAATTGCAAGTAGAACAATAAAGGGAAGTACAGGAAAACACACGAATATGACATATTCGCGTGTCTTCTTGTACTTCCCTTCGTTGTTACACACACACACACACACACACACACACACACACACACACACACACACACACACACACACACACACACACACACACACACACATACACACACACACACACACACACACACACACACACACACACACACACACACACACACACACACACACACACACACACACACATTCACTCACTCACACTCACACTCTCATTCTCACTCTCACGCACACACATTCACTCACTCACTCACACTCTCACTCTCACTCTCATTCACGCACTCACACACTCACTCACTCACTCACTCACTCACTCACTCACTCACTCACTCACACACACACACACACACACACACACACACACACACACACACACACACACACACACACACATAGAGAGAGATCGAGAGGTAGGTAGATAGACAGACAGATAGATTGAGAGATCGAAAGGTAGGTCGATAGACAGAGAGGTAGAGAGATAGACAGATAAATAGATCGAGAGGTCGGTAGATAGATAGATAGGTAGAGAGATAGAGAGATCGAGAGTCAAGTAGATAGACAGATAGGTAGAGAAATAGATAGATGAATGGATAGATAGATAGATAGATGAATAGATAGATAGATAGATAGCAAGAGTCCTCGCAAAGTCCGCTTCCGAGGAATCGCCTTAATCTTGCAGCACGCAAGTAACGACGCCATTTTTTTCTTCATTTGTAGAACGGACAGGAAGCGAGTTGCTTTTTTTTGCTTTTTTTTAATTGGATATCATATTTTATTTATCTATTTTATTTATTTATTTATTATTTATTTATTTGTTCGTTTGTTTATTTATTGTATTTATTGCGGTCGCTTAAAGGGTGAATTTTTTGTTTGTTTGTTTTGGTTTGTTGGAAAGTAGGAGAGCATGATTTTGTTTGTTTGTTTGTCTGGGACGTTGGAATGTAATTTAGCTTGTTTGTTTGTTTGTCTGTTTGTTGATATGGCTTGTTTATATTATGG